GTTTCTGATCGTGGATAAAGTAGTGGCAGGATAAACAAACCTCTGGGGAATAATGTGGTAGTTATAAGGGCTACATACAGAATTAGGAGTACTATTTGGCAAGATTACCAGGCTTGTCTCAACTTATACTCCCTGTATTGGTGACTAAGGATATCCGTGCACCTTCACTGGTGCTAGCTTGCCCATTCATTCATTCAAAACCACTTTATTGAGGTATAACGGACATATAACGGCTGTACCCATTTAAAGTGTACAACTTGATAAGTTTGGAGATAAGTATACATCTGTGAAACTATCACCACAATCTATGCCATAAACCTAACTATCACCCCCAAAAGTTTCCTCCCACCTTCTTTATCACTACTATTTTTATTTATTTTATTTTTTGTGATAAGAACACTTAAGGTCTACTCGCTTAGCAAATTTTAAGTACACAACATAGTATTATTAACTACGGGCCTAGGCCGTACAGTAGATCGTGATGATCTACTCACCTCCGCCTTGTTTATTTTTAATTTACTAATTTGAAGGGTGAAAAACAGTGCTTTATAGGTGTTTTAATTAATTATGCATTTCTTTGATTAATTATGCATTTGAACAGCTTTTTAAAGGTTTATTTGCTGTTTGCAATCCTTCTTTCATTGAGTGCCTATTATATTCTAGGCACTATTTTAGGTGCTGAGGATAAGACAGTTAACAAGACAAACATGCAGAGTTTACATTTCAATGCAAGAAACAAACTATAAAAACAAACTGAAAAGCTGAATTAAAAATGAAAAATACCATTTCAGCTATTAAAAAAACCCACAAAAACAATAACAAAGCAAATTAAAGGGACAGAGTAGAGTGGTCCATTATTTTAGACAGAGCAGTCAAAGAGAGGTTCTCTGAAGGGACGATATTTGAACACAGACTGAGCAGTAAGTGTGCCATGTGGATTCTTGGGGAAGAACCCAGACACGGGGAAAAGCAAGCTCAGAGCTCCTGAAGTGGGAACTTGTTCGAGAGCTGGAGGAATGGTAAGCAGCCCGGTGTGGCTGGAGTCCAGTGAACAAGAGAGCAGGGTGGTGGGGTTGGAGAGACAGGATCATGTAGGGCCTGCCTTGCAGACCACTGAAAAGGCTTGGGATTTGACCCCAAATGTTTTGGGAAGCCACGGAAGGGCTCTGAGCAGAAGAGTGATATGATTGGACTTGCATAGGGAGATGGGTTAGGAGACCGTGGGGGTGAGAGGGGCAAGGCCCCGTGACTTGGTCCCACCACTGCAGAGAGAGGTGAGTGGCTTAGTTCAGGATACAGTTTGAATAGGAGTTGCTGATGCACCTGACGTGTGATGTCAGAGAAAAAGAAGAGTTAAAGGCAATTCTAAGGCTTGATCAACTGGGTCATGACATTCATTGTGATGCAGAAACACTGCGGGAACAACAGGTGTGTGGAGGTGGAATCAAGAGTTTAGTTTGGAACATGTGAGTCTGGAGTTCAAGGGAAGAGGTCAGACTGAAGATATAAGTGAAGGACCCTTTAGTCATAAATGGAACGTAAAGCCATGAACCTGGGCTGAGAACCTCTGGGCAGAGAGGAGTATGTCAGGAGGTGTGATGGCCCCTGAAACAGATCTTGTGTTTCTTACTGAACTGTGTAAGTTTCTATACATTAATGATATTATAGTTTGTCAGTCATTTATACTACAAATATTTTCCCAATTTTCTGTTTCCTTTTTGATTCAGTTTATTTTATTTTTGACATCTACTTAAAAACAGTTGTGTAGTAAAATCCACCAGTCCTTCCCTTTGTGATTTCTTCCATTACTTTTAAGGCTAAAAAGTCTAGTAACTAGAGGTCAGACAGACATTTGTGTTTTATTTCTATGTTTGCTTGTTTGAATGAACTTTGATTAACTCAGAGTTTATTCTGGTGTGTGTTAAGTTTATAAGTTGATACCTTTTCAAAAGATCTGTCAAGTTTCCCAGTACCATCTCTGAACTCTTTCTCTCCTCATTTGCTGGTCTGTGATGTCTTCACACACTACACTTTATTTGGTTCAGTTTCAATTTCAAGCTTTGAAATTGCAACAGTGATGATGAGAAATCTGCCTTGCATCCTTACAGTGTTACTTTGTATAAGAATCTCAATGTGCTTACAAGGAAATACATAAAACAGAACCAACATTTTTGAGAAGAAAAATGCTGGGACAGAAAGCTAAATGGAAGAAAGATAAAACATGAAGGGGAAAAAGGAAAGGGTACAGTCTATTTCCTTTTTGAAAAAAAAAAAAAGTAGATGTTGAAAAATGTAAAAATAGAATCATGTATACATACAACAAATACTGAGTAACCTCCCCACACCAGCCAGGATTATCCAGGTGCCCTCAAGTAGTGAGTAAGACAAGGGACCTGCCTGCAGGGGCCTTGACTTTAGTGGGGAGGTTGGGGAGATAGATGATACATACGTCTATGACTTCTGTGAGTAAAGAATGCTATGAAAATAAGATGGGGGCAGTGGGGTGGAGAGTGACCAAGGGAGGTGAAGACAAAAGGGAGGTCAAGAGAGGCTTGTGTGAACACATGGATCGCTAACAGGCACATGAAAAGCTGCTCAGCATCACTCATCACTAGAGAAATGCAAATCACAATTACAATGAGGTATCACCTCACACCAGTCAGAATGGCCATCATCAAAAAGTCTACAAACAACAAATGCTGGAGAAGGTGTGGATGAAAGGGAACCCTCTTGCAGTGTTGGTGGGAATGTGAATTGGTGCAGCCACTATGGAGAACAGTACTGAGGTTCCTCAAAAAACTAAAAATAGAGCTACCATATAATTCTGCAATCCCACTCCTGGGCATATATCCAGACAAAACTATGATTCGAAAAGATACATGCACCCCTATGTTCATCGCAGCACGATTTACAATATCCAAGACATGGACATGGAAACAACCTAAATGTCCATCGACAGATGAATGGAAAAAGAAGATGTAAGTCAGAAATAGAAAGATAAATACCATATGATATCACTTATATATGGAATCTAAAATATGACACAAATGAACCTACCTACAAAACAGAAACAGACTGACAGACATAGAGAACAGACTTGTGGTTGCCAAGCGGGGGTGGGGAGGGGAGGGATGGAGTGGGAGTTTGGGATTAGCAGATGCAAACTATTATACAGAGAATGGATAAACAACAAGGTCTTACCGTATGGCACAGGGAACTATATTCAATATCCTGTGATAAACCATAATGGAAGAGAAATGTAGACACATGTATAACTGAATCACTTTGCTGTACAGCAGAAATTAACACAACATTGTAAATCAACTATATGTCAATAAAAAAAAAAAAACTGTGAGAGAGAGATAGGCTTGCCTTGTGTGAGATATTTGTGCTGAGCCATAAATCATGAAGCTGAAAAGGAAGAGGGGAGGTGGGAGGAGAACAGGGAAGCACTATGGCCCCAGGCAAGCTCAAGCAAGAGGGAAGAGAAGGGGAGGGTGGAGGAGATGAGGTCACTAGGGGAGGGGCAAGGGAAGAAGACAGGATTATGGGAGGTATTAGGAAGCCTTTGGAGGTTCAAGTGGAAGTGTGATCTAATCTGCTGGAAACTGAGAGTTTACAGGCCGTCCTGTGAAAACTAACCTGGGGGAGGTGGTGGGCAGGGGGTGCAGGGTGGAGATTAGGGGAGAGAAGAAGGAGCTCCAGCTGGAAAGATCTTGTATGAAGAAAGTCCCTAAAATATACTTTTTAAAAAACATATCAAAACTAAATACTTGACAGGGAGGAAATACAAGTGATTAGACTGTAAGATTCCTGAGGGCTAGGATTTTTGTCCGGTTTGTTCACTATCTCCAATGCCTAGAATACTGAGAGTCTGGCACTCAAGAAGAATTTGTTAAATTAAATGAACAAAGTGACTATAGGGAAAAACCTTTTATTTGTGAACCAAGAATCAGATGAAATGAACAAACAGAAAAGAGTCTCACAGAAGCCTCGTGGGCTACAGAACTGGTCTCATAATTACATAGCCCTTCAAAACATGAGACAGACTTCAATCAAGGATGGGTAATTTAAAAATAACGTGACACTAAGGGTTCAAAATGCAAGTTTAAATTTAGCTGCTTTCTTATAAAATCCTCTCACCCCTCAGACATGAGTTTCGATGTGTCAGGAATTACGTCTTTTTTTAAAACTCTCCAAGTAAGAGCAGAACACATCATGTATGTGTACTCCAGCCATGTATATTTAGGTTGTTGGAATTCTACTGAAGAAAAGCTAGCATAGAGGCAAAATGCTTAAGGAAGAAAATTCGGACAACTTGCAGCATTTATCATGACTAACATTTTAGTCTACCAGAGTAAATTTTGAAATTATGTTCTAATTTGAGATGGTTCTGGTTTGATGAGTTAACTCTTGAGACATCTGAGTATAGTATTATGAAAGAGCAAAACTGTTCATCAACCCTTTATGCCAGTGTTAATTTCTTTTAAAAGTAGGATTTTAATGTTTTTTTATTCCTACAGTGACCCTTAAAATTTCTATGTATGTAATCACAAATGCACACACAAGATGCATTTATAAGCTTATTGTGTAGTTCTAAAGACAGTTGGGAAACCCAGTTTTAATTTTATTACTGAAATAATTTAAACATATATTATAGAACTGCTTCTTTTCAATCAACAGCTAGGGTCTAGAAAGAGACTGCGCAAGCAGGCACAATTTATTCAGGTTTCTTAGTGTTAGAAGAACAAAGTTGCCAAACTTCAATCTGTAACAAGTACTCTTAAATTTATTTAATTTTTCACCTTACCACTGACATCAACATACATCCTTTGCTCATGCCTTAGAAAAAAACTCAGATAATTTATTTTACAAAGATTCATTACATGCATTAACCATTGGTATACTCAAATCTGGGAAATTATTTTCAGCAAATGTGTAACATTCCTGACGATCTCCAAGAATATTTTAGTGACTTTCATCAGAGAAAGAGGACTTACCGGCTTTTATTCATGAGGTCTGCTCCTCGGGCTTTATAATAATCTAAATTTGGATGGAACTGATAAGTCACTGGTCTTGGATTTCTCTATAGAAAAAAAAAAAAGCAGTAAATTAAAATGTATAAAGCTATTTAAATTATACATTAACACATAAAAGAATGAAACAATTGTTTTTATATTCTTTCAGAAAAAAATACGTATAATAATGAAGTTTAATAATTAATGTGCTTGGGTTTTTTTGTTTTTTTAATTTTGCTGCGCCTCATGGCTTGTGGGATCTTAATTCCCTGACCAGGAATTGAACCTGGGCCACAGCAGTCAAAGTGCCGAGACCTAACCACTGGACGGCCAGGGAGCTCCCCGTTTTTTTGTTTGTTTGTTTGTTTTTATTGCTGAAGTTTTGCCTTAACTGATCTTAGTCTGATTAAACACTGAAATTGTTTTAATACATTTTCTTTTTACCTGTTTCATAGTTCACACAGATTTATTCCTTTCATTAGATTTCTTTTTGATAATTTTGATCATTTTCAATATGCCTTTCCAAAATACAATCAGACAAAATTACAACAAAACTGAAATATTATATGAGATTAACCCCAGCATAATCTATGCCTAAGGCCTAGGAGACACAAAGTGTCAAGAAAGCTGCATTTGAAGAAGAGCAAAACTCGTTAGTTTTTGATAACCAAAGTGCTGTGTATGCCCACTAGATGGCACACCGAGTCTTTCTTCTCCTAAAATGAATGAGTTATTTCAGAATTCAGCAATTCTTTGGAAGTTTGCACTTTCTATGTCATCTATTCTCATATACGAGTTTAATAAGTGCCCAGGTAGTAGAAATACAAAAGCAAACTGACCAATGCACATTTTCATAAAAGCAGCAACACATTGTACTTTCTGGCATGTAGTATTATTTGTAAACTTGCAGAAATGTCCTTGAATCATTAGGTTGGGTGTGTCTATTTACATAGGTTGCTATTATTTAATATGTCTATTATTTAAAAGTATCAAGTGCCTCAGGCAAATACAAATTAACCAAATACACTTTCAGTTTATAAAAATGTTAACACGTTAATAGCATAACTTAAATGAATACCATCATCTCTGAAAGGTTAAATTATATATATTTTTCCTTAAATAGTTTCTAAAAACTTATAAATAAATGTGTTCCAATGTTTACCTGAACATATAACTCAAGTTAATAATTAGGACTTTGAACCAGAGCATGCCCTGTCCTTTGAGAGATCTAACTAGACATAAAAAGGCTGCATTTTATCTTAATAGAAAATTACCAATATGCTTTGATATCAGTCCTTGGAGACATAATCCCAAGGCACGAATATACTTGCATGTAGGCGGGGGTACATAATTGCTAAGGTTAGATAGTTTGAAATTCATCAAGCTAACAAGCTGCATCTTAAGGCCATGATGGACCTTTTCATTTTCTGCTGAAAAGAGAATATTTACAGAGCTCAACCCTTTCATATCTCTTCCAAGTCAGCCGTAATCATCTGACAAAAATGACAATCCCTTGATTTAGCTCCAGCTACTACTCCACTGGTTTGGTATTCAACACAGTTCTACAATAATCAAATCTGAATTGCCTTGATGAAGATAACTGATGCTTCCATGACTACCATACTATTAAGTCTAACAGTGCAACTTCTAGCTCTCTAGGAATTACATAGGTTTCCTCTTGGTAGCTGATGACAACCTGGACCCAAGCATAACGGGAAAATGAAATAGAGGTCAAAGCCACTGGCAGACTGACAGTGCATTCATGATTTATTTTAAAAATTAACTCGCGTAGGACTATCACTCATAACCAATTTTGTTCTTTATTCTCAGTACCTGAAAACATTTTGTTTTCGTTACTATAAAAGGCTTTTCTTCTCTGACTTTCAACAAATTAATAAAGGATTATGTTCCTCTTTGCTAGAAAACAATGAAAGCAGGGAATGCATGGAGCAATTTCTTGAAACATCTTTATAAAGAAATGACAAGCAATTCAAGACACGAAGTGCTGATCTATCTAAGCACTTAAAGCCATTATTAGGAATAATGATCTAACTTGAACATATGAATGAGGCTCAAGTATTGCTTTCACTGAGGCCTATTTAAATTCCTAGGAGACTTACTAGTATCAAAAGGAGAGGCAGTTTAAAGTGCCACTGTACTGGGATGGAAAAGAAAGAATCAAAAGATGATGTTGAAAAATAGTATTTGAAATGTAAGAAAATAACATCAGAAGTTATAGTTTAAAGTCATTCAATAGGGTTTTCTATCTGAGAAGGTGATATTGTTACTAAAACAAAAGTATGTGTACACATGGATGGTCTAGACCAGCACTGTCCAACAGAAATATAATGTGGGTCACAAATGCAGGCTTCATATGTAATTTAAAATGTTATAGCAACCACGTTAAAAAAAAAAAGAGTGAAAGTAAATGGAATAATATTTTGTTTCATTTGGTATATCCAAAATGTTGTCATTTTAACATGTAATCAATATAAAATATAGAGATATTTTACATGCTTTCTTTCGTACAAAGTGTTTGAAATCTTGTGTATACTTTACACTGAGAGCACATCTCAGTTTGGACCAGCCACACTTCAGGTGCTCAATGGCCACCTGTGGCTGTAGCTACTGAATGTCTGATACCTCTGTAAGCCAACATGTGGCTATAGAAATCAACAGGTATAGACACTTATTTAAAAAGGGCACATGCCTTTTTTTATACATTAAGATTCAGTACTGACAGTTCTTTAATTCACCTATAATTCTTCTCTTTTAATTTAGTTTAGTCTCTTCTGAATAAGGTTTTAAAAAGTCAAGAAATTTTGGAGCAATATCTTCTCACACAACTATGTACCAAAATGACAGCAATGGTTTCCTTAGCGGGATGAGATTAAATGAGCAGAATTCTAACCTCATGCAATTGAAACATTTTAAAAGTAACATTTGCCTTTCTTATTTCAAAGGATTTTTTTCCAAATAAAATTTAACAGAAATATAACAGTTTTGATTTCTATTTTTTTATAGATCTGGAATTTCTTCTAAAATGTAAGAGCCACTAGAATTCTACACATATAAAACTCTGTATGTAAGAAAGACCAGACCCAATGACAGTTTTAAGTTCTCATTGTGTAGGACATGTGATGTGGACAACTTTATTTTTTTTTATTTTTTAACATCTTTATTGGAGTATAATTGCTTTACAATGGTGTGTTAGTTTCTGCTTTACAACAAAATGAATCAGTTATATATATACATATGTTCCCATATCTCATCCCTCTTGCGTCTCCCTCCCTCCCATCCTCCCTATCCCACCCCTCCAGGCAATCACAAAGCACTGAGCTGATCTCGCTGTGGTGGACAACTTTAAAAGTATGTCTTTGCAAAAGATTGGAACAATTAGTAATTATTTTAAACCCACTTTCACACAGTCAGGATTCCAAATATTATAAGCTTTTCCAAGCCAATGTACACTAAAAAAAAAAAGCAATAACGAAAACAACAAAAAAACCCACTTCTGTTTATTTGGAGGAATTTTTCTTCAGAAGAAAAAAATGGTAATTATACCCTAACTTATATTGGTCTGTGTACAGAGGAATACCAATTATGTTTCATGAACTGAGAAGTCTACATAACTATACATGAAAATGCAGAAATCACAAATTCAATCCACCCTGGGTCTACCATGCCTTTCCTAGACCAATCTGGATGGACTTGAAATAAATCTTCCACAAGATTGCAGCTAATTAACTTCCCAAGTACCACTCCATCCTTCTCTGTTAACAAGCTGTTGGAGCTCTTCTTAAGGCTTTCTCTTCAGCATGTTACTTTATGGTAATAGAAGAAGAATGCTGAAACTCCCACCTGTGGCACAGATAGGCTGAAATCTGGGGAGGCAGCTTAGAGCCTTGTGGACAAAATGACTTACAGAAGCAGGATAGATAACAGTAGAAACAAGTATCCTAGAGGGAACTATATGGAAAAAAAAACAAAACAAACCAAACTCGTGTGGTACTTCTGAATTTTCAAAATGCTTTGGTTAATTTGGCGTGATCAAATCAATTTACAAGTAGTGCTTAAATGACAGCAATCAATGTTAGGGACAAAACTGATTGAAACCTAACCTCTCCATTATAGTTAACATTCTTCACTTCTGAGTTCTATATTATACGATAGTAAGCTGTACCTTAATGTAATTTCAGGTAAAACACTCTGTCCCTTACTGAGTGTGGCTTTTGATGGTGGACAACTCCCCTCCTCTCTACTCTGTAATAGAAGTCCCTCCCTACCACCCTTACCCGCACAGTAATATTTCAGGACTTTAAGTTCAAACTCACTTTCCTAAGGTAGTGTACAAAAATATTTAAATGCTAACCCACACTAAGTACAACTAACCACAAGAAGTGAAATTAACCACAAGATGAAATGTGACAATTTTCCTTGTTCTGAGCCTGGTGAAATCAAACTCATCCAACAAAGGTCATCATAAATAGTACTTTCTAGACTGATCCCCTAACTCCCTTCCCTCACCTGAGGATGATGATCTCCTTTTGCATTGTTAATGGGAACTCCAGAAGGAAAAGAGCCTGAGGCATTCATCCTGCTTGGAACAACACATTGCCTGCCTTTCAAAGGGCTGGCTATTTGTAAACACATGTAGAACTGAAGGGAGCAAAAGATAAGCAATTCCAGTGATCCCTGTTCTAATCTATGAATGTACCAGCAGGAGGTAAAGAAGAGTAAAAGTGTTACGTTAGAAACAAAGGGACTAAGGTAGACCTAACATCTGCTTTAGAGGCACAGGCTGCCAGGCAGGGGATGCCAGGGATCCGGAGTCAGGGAGGTTCAAGTCCAGAGCCCGCCCCTCCCACGCCTGGCTGGGAAGGAGTCAATTTACACTCCGGCTCAGGGTTTCTCATCTGCAACATAACGGAAAGGATTAAACGGGACAATGAACATTAAGTGCGGCACAGTGCTGGGCACTTCGTAAAAACTCAATAAAATGGAAGCTACAATTACCTTCTGATACCACTGAGCACTGATAAACAGAACTTTGACAGCAGATCTGACA